CAAGCTTACATGGCCCGGAGAAATCCTTCTGATTAAGCACCTTGGTAGAATCTGATGTGACATGGTGTGAGGCTCCAAAGTTGACTACCCAGTGGTCCCTTGTGCTGGAGGCTATGACACTATGGTTACGAGGAATAATAAACATGAGCTTCAGCACGAGCCTTTGTACATCATGTATATTCGTCAACACTACCCGAAGCAGAATCCATACTGGAGTAGTGAACTGTCCCTGAGTCACCACGTGACACGGCACGATCAGACGACCTACCAGTGAACATCTTATCAAACCTGTACCAGCAGTCAACAACCAAGTGTCCATTCTTCCCACATAATTGACACTGAACGCGAGGTCGATCACAGTCACGACCTCCAAATCTACCCCCAGCACCAAGCCCTGACCGTCCAGATGATCGATCATGCACGCCATGACCAACAGATTTCAAGGCAGAATTGGACTGAGCTATATGAACACTCATTGGAAAGGATTCTTCTTGGGCATCAAAACTGGCCAGCTGAGTTTCTGCATCGATAAGCATCGAGCAGATCTTGTCCAGCGACAAGGAATCTTTCATGGTGGTTATGAAAGCAATGTACGACTGATACTCACGGGGAAGACCCTTTAATATGCTTGCTACATGTTCAGCCTATGGAGTTGAACTATCACAAGAAACCAACGCATCACATACTTCTTTGATGCGTGTTAGATACACACGCATACTATCGGTTCCTTTCTTGATAGACTGAAGCTTGTAGTGGAGACTAATGACTGTTGTGGTAGATCGATTGGCAAAGAACTGCAACACCATGCTCCAAACCACCGCTGTTGTCTCCGCTCCAACAAATTGGGACAGCAAGTGAGGGCTGATCGTGGATAATAGCCAAGACGCGAGCGCACTGTCTTGCGCCACATACTCCTCGTGCAGTTCATTCGGAACTGAATCACCACGCTCATCGACCACCGTGGCAAGAGGAGGACAAGCAGTTCCGGTTAGCAGTCGTTCTAAGTGATGACTTCGAACAGTTAACAAGATATGTTGCTTCCAAAGTAAGAAGTTGGATTCATCAAGAATGATATTAACCTTCTTATTTGTGAAGGATTTACCAGCAACGAACTCCATGGATCACTTGAAGCGCAGACAATGAGGAAGAAACCTTAGGAACTACCGGCAAATGATACCATATTAGGTATTGCAGTGATGCAAACCAGAAAATACAAATTGGAACTAAAGAACTTGTTTATTAAGCAAATGTTTTTTTTATTATATGATTTACACCTTAGCTACACTTAATATTTATAGCTCATTTGTAACTAACTTGAAACAACCTAACAGCTTGAAAACCGATTCCTAACTACCTTTACACTCAGCCCAACTTCCTCAACTAACTGCTTCCATGCATACACGCATATCACACACACGACTCCTTATGCACACGCCACCTTATGCACACGCATGCCACGCACACTATACCTTGACATATAACAATTAAGATTCTTAAATTTATATGAATATACCTTCAGAAATATAAATCCATGATAGTTTTATTAGAAGAGAATAAGAAAACCTCTATGATGGCAATGTTTTACTTTTTGGAGATCACTCTGTAAATTATCATTCTTTGTTTCGTCAGTTGAAATGCTTAAATGTTCCTTAACAATGGAGGCTTTTAATGAGAAAATTATTTTATACAACGTAGTTGTGCTTAGGTTAGGTATGCTGTCTTTCCAACTAAGCCCTTTAATTGTTTTTTTTACCCTTATCCAACAATGTTTATTTACTATATAATGCATGCTCCAACAATCCTACAAAAAGACAGTAAAGCAGATCAAATCACTGTTTGTTGATCTGCATGGATCTCTTTTTACTTTGGGAAGCCTTTAGATCGCTTTGCTCGCAGACCGTGGCCAAATAATGCAGATTGTGAAAAAAGTTGCCGAGGTTTCTTTTTTAAACAATGATTTTTCACTTTCTGCTTTTGCGTAAAGAACAATTTTGCCTTGGAGTTGAGGGTTTTGTTTGTATTTGTTACCTGGTATTGTCAAACATACTAGGTAACAAATTTGATCAAACATGAAACCTATTTTTCAATTAAATTTTGGATTTATTATATATAAAAGAGATACATATCACCTGTTTGTGAGTTTTTTTTCTTCATAAACTGTTTGGGTTTCGGGTTTCGAAGTATTTGGGTTGAAAGTTAAAATTCAAACTAAAACGTTGGGCCTGACACCCCATATCAGGTTTCAAATGATGAAAACACTATGCTTATTAATGTAGGCTCGTCTCTTGACATTGGATCATGAGATTGTTGTTGTATGCCTGGAAAGTTTGGTTTAGTTTTATAATTTCAGAGAATTGAACTGCTATTGCTATGGCATCAATTTTTTCAATGCTCCCTTTCGCTCTGGTTTGGTCCGTCTGTGTTGGGTTAATCCTTTCTTAATTGGAAGCTAGAAAGAGATATTACATGTTTAGTGTATATATTAATCCACGTTCATGTATGATATTAATTGAAGTTGTAGTTTTTATATACATTCATGTATGATGGGTTTGTCTAGAAATTATGTTATAATAATCATTTGATTATCTTATTGTTCTACTATAAATAGGTGACTTTGAGAATGTTCTATATATTATTGTATGGTGTATAATTTTTTTATCTTATTAAAATAAATATTTTGATAAAACGAGATTTTAAAATTCATTTAAAATGAATTTATTGAACGGCTTTAATATAAAAATATATTTTTTTAAAGATTTTAAACTTAACAATTATATCTACAAGATATATATACATTATCAATGAAGTCATTGTGTGTAATTGTTATTTACCCAAAGTCTTTGTTAACATATATCTCATATCTATATGGTAATTAATGGATGGTTGACTTTTTATTCCGGGACATATGTATATAAACTATACTAGGAAACATGATACCATCGCCTGCAGCTGCAAACTGGAGCCTTTAGATTAATTTAAGAATGGATGTGTTTATGATCCATCTGTCAACATTGGCAAAGCCCAAGAGGACCGCATTATATGATTTGCCAGAGCAAGGCACCCACTACATGAGTTGTCTGCTATATCTTAAAGTCCCTTTTCGAAACTGAAATATATAATTTTGAAAAACATTCACTGTGTAATTTAAGACAACTATAAGGTATGGCGTGGTTCCTAAAGATATGTTTTTTTTTATAAGAATAGAATATATTTCACGCCCAATGGTTTATTAAAATGAACATCCCGAAAGAAAGGCACGCGATGTGATGGCGCGTGGAAGTAAGTGCAGGTGAAAATTGACGGGGTGGCTAGGCGGTTGAGGAGAGAGAGTAGGAAAGCGACAGAGTCTGCACCAGTATTTTTTAAAGAAGAATTTATTGCAATAACAATTTATTACACACATCAACGCAATACGACAAAAAAATTAATTTTTTTAGAAAACTAACATAAATTCGAAAGTATGCTCTTTTTTATCTCATAATTTACGTTTTTATTAACTATGTATATAATTTTAAAAGATATTTTTAATAAAAATAATAAAATTATTTTTTAAAAGTGATTGATTTGATAACTTTATTTTGATTGATATAAGAGAGTAAGATATATAAAAAATAGGAATATTATTTCTTATTAATATTTTTAATAAAATATTCTGAATGAGGTAATTTTTAAAAATCAAAAGACACATTTAATGAATAAACGGGAAAATTTAATATTTTTATGAAGTAACAGCATATTGATGTGATGATGCGGGTAGTTGCGAAGATTGAAGAGGTCATGGTGGTGAGCCACTGAGCTGAAAAGACAACTTTTTAAAATGAGAAGATATGTAGTAATCAATATTATCCAAGCACAAGTCTTGTTTCCAAAATAAAGGGTGGGGGTTATGAGATAGAGAGGTTTTATATGTCGATGATCTACATGCACAAATCCAAGCTTTAGGTGCAAGAAGAACAATTCCCACCTGTTGTTATTTTCTCTCTTTCACTTCATCAAATCTCAAAGGTGTATTTTTTTCCTTTTATTTTCTTTCTCTCGGCTTTCATTTTTCTGGGGTTATTTGTCTCTTTTCTTCCATCTAATATATGTATCTTTCAGCATAGATTATGGTTTTAGTATGTTAAGAAAGGTTTTGTTGTTTCTATAAGGTTCTTGACTTTGAATATGCATCTATTTAGAGACTGTGAGGGTGGGATACTGAGATGGAATTTAAATGCTTAGATGATTAATGGGTTTTTTTGGGGTTCAACTTTCAGCTATTTCGCTGTATTTTTTTGTTTGTTTCGGATTTAGCATGCATTGAAAGACTCTTGAATTCGAGCTTAAACAGAATTTATTTGAGCAAGAACCTATTCAAGTGTTCTTCCCCCCCCCCCCCCAAATTATGTCATCTTTTATATATCTTTTTGTTGGGTATAAATGACTGATATATTTGATGTTTTGTATCGAACAATTTGATGTTTATAATGTTAGGCACCACCTGCTGCCTTTTACTTTAGTCACTAGCTTTCAATGGTGTCCTCATCCTTCTCCCACTAACCTCTAGTATAACAGAGAAGAAATGTTCATTATTTGAAGTTGCTGCATTTTGATAAGTGTAAATGGAATGGTTTCTTTAATCAGTTTTATTATGATTCTCATACATAGTTTCTGATCTGAGGAAGGCATTATCATCTCCAAATGGAATTCATCAAAAACTTGTAGCCTAATTAATATATCAAATTGATGGTATGAGTTAATGTGAGGTGTGCGGAGTTCATGACAATTTTGCTATTTATTTATATGGTAATTCAATTCTTGGAAGTATGTTTCTCTTTTTTTTTTGGTGGCTCACTGAACCTGCAGGAAGAGACTCTGACGGAGCCTTTTTTCTACCACTTTATATTTGTAATTAAAGTTAGCTGTGAACCATCGAGTTGTTTTTATATCCGTTCCTTCTTATAGGTAGAAGTCTAATTAAGTCAGTTTAACAAAATTTGAAATACCGCCTTGCAGTTATTTACTTTTGTAAATTCTGATTTACTTGTCGAACACTGACAGTGTGCGGTTTGTTGATAGGCTACTGGTGTTAGTACGCTAAAAGTCTGCAGCAAAGACTTCCTTTTAACATTTATAAGATCCTTTTGCACTTCCGAAATTTCAAAGAGTAGTTCAGGGCAATGCAGAACATGCATAGAAAGGATTCTGGTGTAAATGCACATTCAATGTGCACATATGCTGTCAGCAGCTCGTCTTTGGGCAACTCAACTGGATCTCAGGTCCTGCAATCTTCCATGCCTGAAAGTTTAAGCCTGAAGATGGGAATTCTGGCTCAACACTTTCATAACACCAAACAGCTGAGTTTTCAAATCCTGGACCAGGACTCATCATCAACTCAATCAACTGGTCAATCTTGCCCAGAAGCAACTGGTGCTGGAGACAGCAATATTTATGGGCAAAGTCTAATTTTACCATCGTCAGGTCTTTATATTTCTCCAGCATTACACCTTTTGATGATATCTAAGTTCGATGCCGTATAATTTGAAGATGTTTAATTTTTTTCATCCATGAGATTTTTTTTCTTCTCTAATTACCTGGCGAAGGGTATATCTAATTAGCTGTTCTCGCACCTGATCAGGGGTTAATGGAATTCATGGGAAGTTTGTTGGAAGCCATGCTAAATTAGCCTCTTTAACAGGACAACAAGACTATGCCGTCCCTCCTGCACAAGTTGATTATAGCAAATCAATTGTAAGTTACTACTTTTGTAGTTTGGCTGGTATGTAGAGGAGTCAATGTCTGGTATATCACATTCATTTATGTCAGTTTCTTACTGCAGTCACATATTCCTCTCCATTATGCCAAACCATATTTTGACAGTGTAGCAACGACAGCTTATGAATCGCAAGCTTTGGTAAGAGTTTTGTCTTGTCCAATTGCAAGCACTTCACTCTGGCATTTTTTACCAGTTCATAGAAAAGACAATGGTTGGTTTTAAAAGTTCTAGACCCTGTTTAACAGCACTTTTGTTATGATCATCATAACTGTAGTCTCCTCTTCGACGAATCTCAGAGAGAAAAGTTGAAGGAACCTGGACTTTTGAAACCATATTAAAAGATCTAGCCCTACTTATAAACATAACCTTGATGCTGTAGAAGATTTGAAAGCACAAGTCAGGGTACAAGTTTATTTTGATATAATGTAGATGCTATAGACCATTATTTTAATCCATCAGCACCTTCCTGTGTTCATCCATTCTTTGTTTCACATAAAGAATCTATTAGCCGGCTTGGTACAGGTCTAATTCTTTAATGTTCATTAAGCACATTCACGGACTATTCTGCTGCATATTATTATCTGTCATTCTATTTAACACTTTGCATCTTACTCTACTCTTATTATTCTTTCCTTTTCTTATCAAATTGATTCTTTATCAGAAAAGCTTTTCTTCCTTGATCTTATTTTATGAAGTGCTTTTACTATATGAAGCATGAAAGTTGCAAAAGTAGTGCATTAAGTCAAGAGGTTACTAAATCTTCTTTTATTTATTCTCTGTTTTCTGACTTATTGATTCTGCATTAAAGTGGATTTGGTATAGATTCCGATTTTTGTGTTGCTAAAACAAATGCCTTGAAAATCTATTTAAGGGACACCCTTTGTTATGCATGATCAGACGAAAAATGTTTCTCATTTGTTATCCGTTGCAGATTCATCATGCTCATATGATGGCAATGCTTCGTACTCGTGTTCCGCTGCCACTGGATCTTAAAGAAGATGAACCGATTTATGTTAATGCAAAGCAGTATCATGCTATTCTCAGGCGAAGACAATATCGTGCAAAGCTCGAGGCTCAGAACAAACTCATGAAAGTTCGGAAGGTATGTATGTCTCTTTGAGGTTTTCCTTCTTGCTGGTTGCTGCACAAGAACTGTATAAGAAGCTATTTTCCAAATGTTTCACAGCCGTATCTGCACGAGTCTCGCCATCTTCATGCATTAAAACGAGCTAGAGGGAGCGGTGGGCAATTTCTCAACACAAAGAAACTCCAACAATCCAAGAGCATTCTGACAAGCCACGGACTGGACATGTCCAGGTCACCTCAACTACATTTGTCTGCAAACATCTCCAAAACAGAAGTTCCTCAGCGGGCAAATTTCAAAGATGCTGCTTTGGCCACTTCTTGCTCCGATGTCACAAGTGCCTCCAACAGTGATGAAGTGTTTCAGCAGCCAGATTTCAAGTTCTCAAGCTATCCTCCTGATCATATAAGTCATGCCGGAAATATCCACGGTGATGGGAACCTCCATCATCTTTCTGGTCTTGGCTGATAGACAAGATTGATTCTTGTTTGAGCAGTTCGATGCTGACGAAAAACACGGCTGCTTAGTTCCCATGGGAAGTCATCCTTGGCTCTGTTTAGTTTTACTTGTCCTGTCAGCAGACTGTTAATAAACCGTGAACATTATGGTCACATTACTTTAACATAAACGCATGCATGCCTTGCCAATTGCCATACATTTGAGCTTCAATGTCATGTACCGTCGGTAACATCAACATTTCCAGTTTGATATGAAAATACGAATTAGAGAAGGTTCTCTAGTTGATTTCGAAGCAATGATTGTTTGGATTAATGCTGTAACTGGGCATCTTCAACTCCAAGGCCACCATAAAAAAGTATGGGTCCCAAGAACAAAGTGGAATCCACAAACTGATCGGTTTTGGATGATCGAATTCAGTTCCCTTCTTACAATTGATTACGGAACCCAGTTCTACATCCGCTTTCTAACACAGGCCAATTTGCCCATTAAATCCGTCATCGATTTTGAAAATCCCCGCTCTGTCTTCTCTTCGGCCGGCAACGGCAAAAGAAAACACGGACGCCATGAAAAAACATCCAAGGAAATCTTCCTGGGCGCTTCTTCTTCAAGCATTGGAAAAATGAATAATTTTGGGGAAGTCTTTTGGAGCATTACTTCAACCATTAAAAAATTGATAAAACATTAAAAAGTTCCGTAAAATATTTTAGGAACTATTTTCCCCCAAAAATGCGCGGAAGTTCTTAATTAATTATTGAAATTTCGGTATTTATTAAAAAATACTGTAATTAAATTATTATAGCTTCTATGGTACACAAAATTTATAAATTTATGTTTACAATTTTAAAATTTGATTTTTTTATTAATTAGAAATTTTCGTATTTGAAAATTTTTATTTTTATTAAAAAAATATAAACTCATTAAAATTTTAATATTACACCGTGATTAATGATATGCCATAAACGACAGTTAAGGATTATTCAATATCGGTTAATATTTTTAACTAATACTAAAATATTTTATTTTAACAAAATATGTAATCAATCCAAAATTTTTAAACAATAAATATCTAATGATTTGTAAAATATGTAATTTTATCATAATTTATATATTTTACTAAAAATATATAAATGGATGGAAGTTTCTAATAATATTTTCTTAGAAATTTTTGATAAGATTGAAACTTCGTACTGATATTTTTTAAAGAATAATAAGTTGAAGTTCACGTAAACCATTAATAAAGGTCAAATGTATGTAGTGGGGAAGTAATAGTGTAGTACAAAAATGGACCAAATTTGGAGTATTATTTGCAATACTCAAAACACAGTGTGTTTGCCAGAATTATGGATTGCTTCTGAAAGATAATATAAAATAATCATGGATTACTGGCTGTTAAGTTACATGGTCTCAAGTAAGTCAGATGTAAAGTCTGAGATGTAGTAAGGTCCACAACTAATTAACTTAGAACAAGTGATTCCCCCTTCAATATAAATATGGCTTAAATATATAAAAGGTGTTCAATTTATGCCTTTTTTTCAGTTTAGTGCTTAACGTTTATTTCGTTCTAATTTGGTGTCTAACGTTTCATTCTGTTATTTAAAATGAGTCAAGCCAACAGACCGTTATTTTTATCCTTTAAGTGACACATGTCACAATATGGTAATTTTAATTTTTTTTATATAAAATTAAAAATTTATATTTTTTTTAAAAATAAAACACATAAATTTATAAATAACCTCAAAACTTTCATTTCAACCCCTAAACCCACGCCGATTGCTGCCCTTTACCGTCGACGAAGCTCCACCCGACCTCACCTTCCCCGGCGATCAAAACCCCTATGAAATCGTAACTGATCAACGGTCGATCGATAGTGAATCAACGTTTTATACCCCATGAACCCTAGGATGAAAATCGCAATCCCAAGCAATTTCGACGGCCAATCGACAACAACTAAGACGACTTATAACTAGGATGATGACAAGGATTATGTCGGCGCAGTGGTCGTGGCCAGAAAGGATGGCGACGGCGGATTAGTGTTAGGATTTGGGGATTTTGAGGTTTTTTTGTAATTTAAAAGAAATAAGTTTTTTATAAATATAATAATATTTTTATTTTTTAAAAAATAAATTTTAAAATTACGAGTTTGTGACATGTGTCACTTAACGGAAAAAACTAATTGTCTGTCATTGACATAATAATATTTTTAATTTTTTAAAAATAAATATCAAAATTATGAGATTGTGACATGTGTCACTTAACGTTAGACAATAACTTGGAACGAAATAAACGTTAGACAATAAATTGGATGTAATACCCAATTTTAGTCTGGCCTACCATTTACAAGACTCGGATATTTTTATTGAAGAAAAATTTGAAACCCGATACATCATTTGACTTGCAACAAATTTTTGGACAATATCCATACATTTTTAGGGCATGATATCTTCTTGAAACTGAATCGACTTTCAGTTAGCTTTCCAACTCATTTTGAAACGCCTCAATCGGACATCAGAAACTCAAGATATGCTTATTTTAGTGAAGATAATGTGTGCAGAAAATTAGATACGATCCCAATACAGAGATTTTAATTCATTACGAATTTTTAATTATTTTATTGAATATTTGTAATTAAATTTAGCTTTATACTTTCCATAGTTTATTTAGAGTAATTTAGGATATTTTAGGATTTTAGGATTTTTTCCTTTTAATTGGTGTTTCTAACATACTTTCCATAGTTTATATTTGTAATGAACAAAAATGTTACAGTTTTCTCTATTAGGTTTTTGGGAGTCTATAAATAGACGTAAAGAAAAAGAGAATTTTTTTGGGATGAGAAAAAGAAAATGAGAGTCACCCTAAGTTTTGTAATTTGAAAAATACTAGTCAATAAAAAGAATGTATGTTTGAAGATAATTGTAATGTCTGTTTGAAGATAATTGTCCTTTTTTTACTTTTATTTTTGTTTTTTTTTATCGAATTCAGTTTTTTTTTAAACTCCGTCGGATGAGAAGAAACCAATGAACAAGAAAAAAAGACTTTCAAATATATATTTATAGAGATTTAGTCTTCTTTGAGGTTTTTCGATGAAAATCAGCCATGAATCTTGAATGAGAATTTTTCTTTTTCTTTTTGATATATAACTTAAAAAATATTTTTTATTTTAAGTGTTGAATTCAATTAAATGACTCGATGACCCGATTTGTATCCTTATAAGCTTCACTTATTTTTACACAGGTAGGAGATAATTTTAGTTCTCATGTTTGTTTTTTTGTTTTTACTTTATTTTCTTTTTTCTTTAAATTTATTTTTCTCAATTCTGATTGTTTTATTTTTACTTTTTTTCCATTATTTTTCTTTTTAATTGGTTTCCACATTTGTTTCCAAGATTTTATATTCCTAATTTTTTCTCTTATTCCTTGTTTATTTTATTCTCTGATTTGTGTTTTTTATTTTTGGATTCAAATTTTAGTTTAATTTAAATTCGGTTTGTCTTTCTAAATTAATTATTTTTCTTTTATTTTTTATTCAATATAATATTTTTCTACTTTTTTATTTTTTTACTTCTAGAATTTTTTTCTTTATATATTTATTCCGTATGTATAAATTCCTTTTAATTTTATCCTTTAATTTTTGGATTATTTGATTTTAATCCTAGATTAAATTTCTTGACTTTAGGCAAAACTTTTAGTTTTTTTTTTATTTAAGCATTAATCTAGATTAATTAGGGGATAATTTAAAGTAGTTCCCGCATGTGCTCTGGGTTCTATTTTTAATTATTCGAGTATAATAAAAATAGCTAAAATTTAATCTAGGATTAATATTAGAGTCCTGACTTTAGATTTAGTACAATTAGGTCCCTAACAAATAATTTACTCTTGACTTAGATTAAGCCTTAAACTTCAAATTTAGTTAGTTTAATTCTTTAATTAGAGTAATTAGAAAATTTATTAGGATTAATATTAGAGCCTCAATTTTAGGTTAGGTTTTAGTCCCTTTAAACTAGGATTAATAATTTATTTGTTTGATTGTATTGCATTGCATTGATTTAAAAATAGATAAGTAATGTTAGTTTATTAGAGATTTACAATATAACTCCTGTTTTTGCCCGGGGACTGTTGTGAATTTTCTAAATAAATTAATACCTTTTTAATCATAATTTCAAAAACGAGGTAATATCTATTTATTAGGGATTGATGATATAATTTTCGCTTATGCCTGGGGACTATCATCAGTTTCTAATAAATTGATAATCTTTCCAAAATTGTATCATGGTGAATCATTAATTAAATAAAAACAAGAACTCACAAATTTCCAAATCAAAGCAATGGGTAATCGACTAGATACTAATTTTGGGTGTTATAGGGGTATTAATCATTTTCCACATGTAATCAACTCCCGAACCCGTTTTCTAATTTCGCAGACCAAAACTAGCATTTTAGTTAAATCAATTTTTTATTAAAATTACTTGATTTTATGTGGTCCAATCTCACTTTAAAAATGGTTGGTGGCGACTCCCATATTTTTAAAATCAGTTGGACCAAAGGCTTAAGGACCGTTCTCATACCGGAAAAACGGACATAAGTTGAACACGTTTTGTATATTTAAGCCTATAAATATTTATAATTCTCTTCTTTATTCAAATTTATGATTAATAATTAACGTTCCATCTCATTTAACCTTTAAAATATATACTTTATTTCGTACCTTAAATTATTTTTTAAAATTAATATTTTTACACAATTTATTCAAAATAAAAATACCAATAAAAGCGTAACACAATATGTATTAACAAAACTAGATCAAAAATGATAATTTAAAAAATAAATTAAAAAGAATGGTGATTTAAACTTTAAAATACAAATTTAAAAAGTAATACTAGTTAAGATGTAAAATATAAAAATGATTGTGCTTTAGAAGCTAAATTAAGAATAAAGCCATTAATTAAATGCTTCAAATTTCCCTATTCCCATGTCTATCCAAATCTGATTAGCTGAGTTAGGTATGGAGATAGACCCACCACAAGAAACGTTTCTATCATCCGCAGGTTAAGATATATATATATATATATATATATGTAATATAATGCTTGTGCAAGATTTGCAGTAAAATCTAAAAAAAAAAAAACCCTAGATTCCACATCAACTCCCCATTATTCCAACCCCTGACAAGACACCACTCCCATTTTTTAATGAATCGAATGAGATTTATTATTAGAAATTTGATGACAAATGGAAGAAAGAAAAAGTCAGATAAACACGACCCCATAATTTTTTTTAAAATCCTTTAATAATTAGATTTCTTTATCAAAGATTAGGCAAAGTGGAAAAGAAATAAAGAGATTTATATTCGTATTGAGATTAAAAAGAAGCTGCACCCAGATTTACGACTAACTGAGAAAGAAGAAAAAACATTAGAAGCATGATTTAGTCAGAGATGAAAGAAGCCAGAAAGAAGAAAGAAAGTATTACATGAAGGAGCCCTGGTTCTTAGCTGAGAGCCGTTTCAAGAACTCATAAGTAGTGATCATTGTTGTTGCAGACATTGACATAGACGCCCACCTGGGCCCTAACCCTCTATAACAAGCTAGCCATCCACCTTCTTTAATCAGATTCCGAACAGTTTGCCCAACTGTTGGTCCACGCCTCCCATTCTCTTCCCCATCCAGGACTTGCAGTCTAGTCTTGATTGTGTCCAGTGGCATTGTAATCAAAGCTGATACCCCTCCGGCCATGGCTGCACTCACTCCCTGAACAGCCATTACCGTCTTCGTATCCGGCCTAATCGTGTTACTATTATTACTCTCATCATCTTTCTTCCAAATGTAGCATCCAATGCCTCCCCAAACGAGCCTCTGAGCTATCGAATAAGATGCCCACCACACTGCATGCGATGGAGCATACGTTAAAATCGATATACCAAAGCCTCTGTACAACCCCTTCGGACCATCCGTTCTAACTATTTTCCTAAACGCATCGATCCCATTTACGTATCTACGAGGTGAACTACAGCTCGGGTGGGTTCCTTGAACCATTAACCTCTGGCTTACCACATCGACCGGGGTCCAAACAAGCTGTGCAGCCATTGCAGCGCTTAATCCGGCAACAGCGTTAGCTATTGCCGCCGCGGTTGGTTCGGGAACACCCAAGTTAACCGTGGCACTGCCTACATTACTTTTGGTAACCTCAAGAGCTGCCATGTAAAGAGCTCGAGCCGGGATTGTTCCCATTAAAGAAGTACCGAATCCGCGGTATAAAGCCCTCAAACCTTCGTGTTTAACAATAGAAAAGGCGGTTCGGATACCAGAAAGTTGAGATTGAGCCACTTGCTGCCTCGTTTTAACCAAAACTACAGGGTAAAGGGTGGCTGAAACACCTGAAAACAGAGCAGCACCTAAGAAGAAAAACTTGGATTTATCGAGCATTTCCCAATCTATATCGGCTGGGATATGAATCTCTTGAGCCGATTCTTCCTCGGCCACCCTTATATTCATCTTTCCCAGTTTTAAAGATCGAAACCGCAAACTTCCAAATCAACAATTTGACACCGAAACCGTATACTCACCCCAAAAAAAGGAAGAAAAAAGCCAACACCACCGCTAGAGTCGATAATCACCGTTTCTGATGAGATTAAGGCAAAACAAAAGCAACGATGAAGGGATTTTTTCTCTCTTGTGGAACCAAATTCTGGATCGAACGTGAATCACAATAAACGGATCTATCATTTCTCTGGGTACTGACAATAAAAAAAAAGGATAAAAAGACCAATCACAGCATAAATACTTCATTTACCGGATATTCAACCATTGTAATCCCCGGCGACAACTTTTAACCGGTGAGAGAGAGCTCCTTGATATTGCGGAGAGATTTAGAGAAGAAGAGAAGTGGGTGACCGGAGATTAGAGGTAGAAAAAAAGGGGACGAAAGAGAATAAGACGTACAGTTATAGAAGGCGGAACGGACAAGTGTCGGTTATGGATTAGATATCTTTTAATTCTTTTTTTTTTGTTTATCGGAAAGGTTATTATTGTCTACGATTGTTTTGATTGAATAACTAGATTTAGAGCGTTTGGATGGCCGGTAACGCTGAGATTTTGATGGTGTCAATAAAATGAGAGTTTTGTTTATTTGTGTAGTGTATGCTGTGATGCAGAGAATTTAAGCCGGTTGTTTTACGAAGGGAGACAATGTAACATGACGTGGAATCCATATCCATTAGGAGCGGATTAGTTATTTTGTTCGATGTATGCAGGCGCATTCTCACCAACATTTGTTAACCTATGCCAATCAATTAGTATTAATTTAATTTAAAAAAGGATGTGAATCAAGTTGGGTTCGAGCATGATGTCTGCAGGAATTAAGAGACTGTTGTTATGATCTTTATCTCACGCTTGATCTATTTGCCTGCACTTTCTCTGGTTTAGTTAATATTAATATCAGCATCGTGGAACCAACCGAGTACTTGGTCCTCAATGCTTCTGAACTTGCTGTTCATGAAGTGCATTTCACTAACTCTCTCAATCATGTTCTTCATGCTTGCTAATCTAAAGATCTGATTTTTATTTAATTTTGTTGATGATTCTTCATATGGGGTTACATTTTTCTGCAGAGATTTACGCCGTGTGATGTGGTTTTGGATGGTGTTGATGAGACACTTGTTTTGATGTTTGAGCAAGTGCTTGGTACTGGCAAAAGAGTGTCAAGTATTGAGTTTTCTGCGACTCTGAATGAGCAATTGAAGGGCCTTTACAAATGGTTCCGTACATCCTTTTATTAACTTCCAATGTTCTCAAGCAATTTCGGTGGTTAAAATAATGATTGTACTCCTTAGAGGTTCTGGGTTTGATCACACACTTGCAAGGGGATGTTTGATGTCGTATATTTCTCTGTATCATATTCCTTTCACACAGGCATGGATGGCTTATCTCGAGCTAAATGTACTGTGAGCAGTAAGATGAATTATAATCGACCTCATTTTCAGGCATTGTAGATGACAGATATGTTCTTTGTGGCCTGTGCACAATCATTGTCATCTTTGCTTTCATTGATGAATGTATACAGAACAGAGACCGTTTTGCTGACAGATGTGGTAGCTAACTCGACAGGTTGCCTACATTGCTGTCATCTAGAATACAAACACTGTTTCTCGAGTCCCTCTTGAAGGTGTATAGAGAAGCTGATGCAGTTCAAGATAAAGAACGCGTTTTAAGTGAGATTTTGATCATCTTTAGTTAACCAATCCAGGCTTATCACTGTTTCTCATCCACATTAAATCTCATTCGAGTTCCCTCTTCTATATTTTGCTTCGATATACAATAGCATCCACTCCAGATCCAGATATTCTAGTAGAAGCTCTCGACTTTTTGATATTTTAAGAGGTATTGATGAATTATTAGATTGAAAAGAGTAGGAAATGTTGGGATTTGAATCCTGAACTTGTAGGAAGCCAAATTCTCTAGGTTGTTTGCAGGTTCAAACTGGGATTCAATCTCGAGTAATTTTAACTTCGTCTTTTCTTGGAAGGTTCGAGATCAAGATATTATTAATGGACTTACTGGAATAAGCTTAAAAGGGAATGCAATAGCATGGAGGTGGATGAAAATGGCAAATTCATGTGCTGCAGTTTACCTTCACGAGTTGATTCTCATACTACTTCCAGGAAGAATTAGCCACTGTTTTCTTCATGACTTAAAATATGCTATAGGAATGGCCATCTTCTTTTTCCATACAATTAACCAAGCCATCTGAAAAACCAATGCAGGAGAACTGGAACTTTATCACAACCAAGTATGGCGGTGGGCCCATCACACATTTTATTCTTGACATTATCTCTCCGGTAAGGAAGTAAACCCCATAAATAATCAATGATACATTATTTATAAATAGCCTTGAAGTATATATCAGATACCGGTATGCATACATGGCAGTTTTGCAGCAATGAAAAAGCCAACGAGGACGAACCATTTTTCGAGAGCCAATGAATTTGAAGCAAAGCATTGAGCAGGTTCGGATCAAAGCAAGGTTGGTTGAAAGCATAAAGCAAGAGCGGCAACCTCTTCAAAATCCTACTCAACCAATTAGCTTGTAAGGGATGATAACTTCAACCGTTATCTCAATATATATGCGTGTATGCGTACACATAAAGCATAAAAGCTTGGCACCATTTATACCAAAACATAGGCAATACGTCAACAACACTTCTATAATACACATTTTCTGTTCTTGTACACACATTAAGCCCATAAGAAAAAGTAATGGACCGGAGCTATGTATTTCACTAGTACTCTAATATGTCAGCTATTATGGTGCCTTGACTTTAGATGATTGGCGGCAGAGACTTTAATTATGATTTGATCTTAAACTTCCTTTGTGCTTTCAAGTCTACAACAATTACAGAGATGTTGTCCCTGCTACCTTTTTGGATGGCCAGCATCAAAAGGTAATCAGCTGCAGATTGTGCGGCAGGGTCGACTCCTTTGCCTCTTTCAACCAGAGACGGAACACCGTTCTTTTTGTGCCAGAGAAGGATTCGCCGTCGAGCCACCTCACAAGCTTCCTCACTTGATATCACATCCCACAACCCATCGCTGGCTAGAATCAAACATTCATCTTCTCTAGCTCGAGGAATAAACATAACTTCTGGATCCGGGATAATCCACGGTTTCAAATATCTGTCACCTGTGAATTAACATAAAAAAAATAGTAAATGCAACACTATACTCAAAGTTCCATTTATCAAACAAGTATGATAAAAATCAAGCTTTAGCATCTTGAAATGAAATGGAAGACTTTGCATTTGCAACAGCATTATTTCTTTTATCGCTGGGAGAGGCGGCGTATTAGGTCAAACTACGATAGAAATAAACATACCAATGGACCTTGACATCCCAAGAACACCAAATACACGATGTCCGTTCCACTGTATAACTTTGCCTCCTGATGCCTCGATCCTTGCACACTCATCCTCTCTATTTGGCTGAAAATCAATAAAGCAAACATGACAGTTTCAAGGAACGGAAAGCTTATTTTATTTATTAGTAGAAAATCCCAAGACTTTTAAATTGTCTTACTTTGTGATCACTAGACAGTATCAAGGCTTCTTTGCCACGGCACAAGACTGCTCTTGAATCACCACAGTTAGCAACAACGATATGCGACGAACAAACCAAGGCCACCACCGCAGTTGATCCAACAGTTTCGGGGGCAATGGGTTCAAAACCAGCACCAGAAGTATGTTCATTACCGCTGCTAACTTTTCCTCCGATCTCATCATCAACCTTTAAAAAACAACTAGTAAATGTCTTCTCCCATTGTGCTTTTCGATTTTCCTTGCTAGTGTCGTCCCATAAATTGTCTTTAATGCTCCCAATCTCTTCTGCCAAAGCCACATGGATACGATCACGACAATAGTTTGCCACCTGCATGAGATACCGATAAGGTTAACGAGCAAGAAAATGATGAATTGATCAAGGAGTCACTACAATCAGAAAAACAAAAATGTTGCACATTGCAGTCATCCAAATTGCCATAAAAAACATATAGATCACTGGCTCCCCTTGGCCCCCGCCAATTTTTATAATTATTAATTAATACTAAAAAATTATATATTTTTGAAAAATAAATAAAAAAATTATCAGGCCCCTCCATTAAAAAGAAATTGTATTTATGGAAAATAGAAAATATTTTAACCCCGCTATAATAAATTTCTAGTTCTGCCCTTGATATAGATAGCAACTATCATTTAATTCAATTCAAGAATGTTCGAAGCTTCTTAAAAAATAGAGCTAAAATGTAAAACCAGGATTTCGGAAGAATGTTGTACCTGTGAGCCACCATGGCCGTCATATACACCGAAGAAGTGTCCAGTAAGGTCAGTCAGACTTCGACTGATACCATCGAAAACACGATCACCAATAAGCATTTTGATGGGAATCTTTATAAACCGAGGCATAACAGCAACAGCATCTTCCATTTCCGTTCTTTTTCCGATAACCGACACCGAACCCCAAAGGGGTATACAATCCAACTCAAAAACACTCCGGCAACCTCTATTGAGATTCTTTTCATTTGGCAGTTGAATTACCACTTCAGAGGTCTTTAAATCAAACCCATCAGAAAGCTTTGCATCTGGATTCACTGTTGTAATAAGAACTTCAGCTGTAGGCACCTGCTCGATGTTCGACTCTCCCAAAATAATAGCCTTTGCGAGAATTCGACCACTTTCAATTTCCACATTTCGCAAGCTTATATCAGAACCTGCATTTAAAACCAGCAACCCCTCATTTATAATCCCATTAGTGTCCACTGACAAAATTTCATCTTCCTCACTCTCCTGAGCCATCGATTCACTAGTAGCAATTGATCTATTTCTGTTCTCAGATAACATCTTCGACGAATCAGCTCCTTCCCCAACACCCTCCGACATCACCACCATATTAACTCTGTCCTTATCTTCTTCACAATTTCCATAGCTGCAAGAAATAGATTCCTGAGAAATGACCTTTGCAGAATCGGACAACAAGTTTGCTGCATCGGTTGCAAGCTTGATCTTTGCGATTTCCACATGAGCTGCGAGTCCAGAGTTCTCACACATAGAGTTACCTAAACTAAGCGTCACTGCAACTGCCGGAGACATCTCTGCCATCAATTCCTGCCTCTACTCCACAAATTATTACGACTTAAAATCTCTAAAGAGTGAACCACGATTTACCATTCATCTTCAACTATCACCTTCCAGCAACACGCTTGGGACCAAGTCATAGGGTTCTATCAATACCTTCTCCATTGCAATGAATCTCAGAGACCCTACAATCTGTTCATACTGTAGAAACAGTAATACACCAAGATTAAAGTTTTTAGAAGGGGCACGAGTTAAATGCAAGCAGAAATGAATATAGGACTAACCAGATCTGGTAAAGCACAACGGATCAACCCTTATATTTAATGAAATTCAAACCATAATCACAAATTATCAAGATTCTTCATCTTTTGAGAAAGAAGGTAATTAAAACCTGTCCACACCACCTACCCTTTTTTAAACAAATTATAAAGCAAAAAATGTAAACACCAAATTCAAAGCTTTATATGTAAAAAACCATAAAAGTCAAAAGTTATCATGAGAAAAAACCTAGGATAAAGCTAAAACAAACACAGATAACCACTGGGGAAGCCCTAAAAAGGTTAACTTTTTGGTATATACAAGTTGAGTTTCCTGGATCTAAGGCAAACCCATCTCAGCCAAGGGTCTCTTTCACTCTCTTTCTCCTCCTTCAAACAAACAAACCAACCCCATACAACAAGAACCTGCCAGAATTATGTGTCTTTAGAAAGAAACATCTAAAAAAAAGATCTTGTAGATATACTAAAAAGTTGACCTTTAGCTCTTAAACAAAAGGAAAAAAATATATCAAATTTATTTGAAGAAATGATTAAAATGATGCTTACCAGTGGAAAATTGGAAATCAAGTGGCCCTAAAACAAGAAGCCTCCTTTAGTTTTTCCCCTAGATTGTTTGCTATGTTCTGGGATTGGGGAGGCCGAGGCCGAGGCTGAGGCTGAGGCTGAGGCTTAGGATGGTGTGGGGGGAAGAGAAGAAAATAAAAGGAATAATGTGTTGGGGGGATGGATTCTTTTTTAGGGGGACACGTATACATGTAATTATCTTACATCATTGAATGCTTTTAAAACAGGAAGTGCTTAGGACAGTGCTTACATAAAGACATCTTACCATGATTTTTGATGGGGCAAACTTTGAGGAGGGACACGTGCCTCCGTCACTCTGAAAAGTCAGACCCACACCCATTAATGTCTTTTACCCCATGCGATGTGATGTATCTGATCCAATCCATCTGTGTTTCTTTTCTGTTTTTCACCATTAATTCATCTGCTTCAAAACTGCTGCTTTTTTCTTGGTAAGTAAAGTATGAAATCTTAATAATTAAATGGCAGACGTGCTTTTAGGACAGGAAGTGCCTTTTTCTTCCCCCTTTTTTTATTATTAATCTTAATAATCAATATAACAAATTCTACATAATAACATTAATATCATCAATTAATTTTACTCAGCATAACATTAATATCATCATTAGTAATATTCTCATTTCAATTTTACTCGGCATAACATTAATATCATCATTAGTAATTTTTCATTTCTTTTGATAAACAGTCAATTTAAATGTCTATATAGTCAATTACCAATTATCGTTTTATAAGTTTTGGATCCATAGTCCTCGTATCATTAATAATTTCATGTAAATTCAAAACAATGTCATAATACCTTAAAATGCATTGATATTAAATTATTTTTATGACATCAAAACTATATCATATTATATTAAAATTGTATTCAAATTTAAAATAAACAAAAATTAAACTAATACAAATACATAAATTAATTGAAAATTCATACATAAAAACAGAGTAACGAATCATTCAACTAAACATCATAAAAAGCAAAGGCGTTCAAATCTTTTATTTTAATGACTAACACTAATGTATCGGAATAACATAATTTTCTATCGCAATAATCATAATACAAGAATCACTTGAAAGAAAAAGATGAATCCTAATAGATCCACCTTTATTCATTTACTCTAGTTAAATTTAACAAGACAACGGAAAAGATAGCAAAGCACACTGCTCACTTATACCGAAATGCTGGTAACTCATCCCTTGACATAAGTTCATCTCGAAACGGTGTAAATCATTTACTTATCGTATTATCATTTAAAAATAACACGAATAATTTATCTTAGTGGTTAAAAGAATCGTTGTTGTTTCTAGAAGATATGAGTTCGAGCATCAATGAGCACAAATGTGATTGAACATTTATTGTCAAATAGTTGAGAATATTCAGAACAAATACTATTTTGTAATCATCTTAGTTTAATTAAAAATAGAGCCATAAAACACCATATTGTCATATATCATGAAATCCATCATTATGGTTAAGAATCAAAGTATGCTCTTCTCTTACCATTTTATTTATCTTTTCTTTTTCATTTTCTGTGCTTATATAATAAATGGATTCAGTTGAGATGTATTTTAAGTTTTTAATATTTATTTAAGTATACTTTTAATTAAAATATAATATTTTATTAAAAACTATTTAATTATCATTTACCTCGGTATAGGCCAATTTGTTATGTAAACCTTCTCAGTACCAATTTATTATGAAATCCATCATTATGGTTAAGAATGAAATTATGCTCTTTTCTCACCATAATTATCATTTACTTCGGTAGGTGGACATAACTCGAAGAGGAGGCTGGCCCATGCAAAGTCTTTTGTCATTGTTTTGTTTTTTCGCAGTTGCCGACCACCTTATTTAAACGATGGAAAGGAGGATAAATGATTGTATTCGTTATTTCAGGGAAATTGGTGTCAAGTCGAGAAGTTTGTTAACCGAACTTACGTTGGTAACGCACAAAAATAAATAAAAAAGAAATCAAGGATCTGTTGGTTGCTTTTTTAAACAAGTTGCAGCTTCCCTATGAAGAGGGGCTTAAAGGCTTGCCAACCATTGTCTCCATGTATGGGGGACGACTAAAGAATCTTTGATGCAAAGCCATCATATTCAGCGAATATTTCTTACCAGTAAAACATAACAATAGCCTACCCCAAAAATCATTCCAAGTATCTGCAAAAGCAAAATTCCAGCTCGCAGTTTAGTTCCTCAATTCTCAACCCCCTTATTCCCACAAAATTTTAATGTGATTATGCAACAATCCGAAAGAAATTGATCGGGAATACATATAAAAGTATTGAATTCCATCATGCAGATTAATCACAGAAAATGTGTCTAAAAAAAGCACCATTTGACTTAGAGCAACATTGACTCCGGATTCTCAATGTAGCCTTTGAAAGCTTTCAGCCATTCAGCACCAATTGCACCTAAAAGTACAGCAAGAAAAGTGGATAGTAAAAGTTTGAGTCAGGTCAGTAATAAACTATTATGATTATAACCAAACTACTTACCATCAATAACTCGATGATCACAGCTTAGAGTTACAGACATGTATGAAGCAAAGTTGAATTGGTCAGGACCTGAGCCAGGGATAACCCTCTTCTCAGCTGCAAAACAAACAGTCCAGCAATTATGAAGAAGAAAAAGAATATAACTTGACATAGGGCAAAATTAAGGACAGCTCTTACCAGACCCAACAGCTAGAATTCCTGACTGAGGAGGATTAATGATGGCACAGAATTGCTTAATACCAAAGGGCCCTCCCAAGTTAGACACTGTAAATGTGCCTCCCTGCAAAGGAAACCCAGCATGTGTACAATCCAGATGATGATCATAACATCAATTATTGTTTATTAACATGAAACCAATTTCTACCTCATAATCTTCTGGTTTTAAGCTGTTCTCCTTGGCTTTTTGGGCCAACTTCTTGACCTCCTCAGAAATTGAGGACAAACCTTTCTTATCAGCATCCTGCAATATGTACAAACAAATTATGGTAAAGCCAACTAGAAAATTATTACAGGAACGGAACAACATGAAGTGAAAACAACTCACCCTGATAACAGGGACATAAAGTCCATTGTCTGTCTGCACAGCTACATTAATATTCACATTGTTATACCTGGGATGGAAGCAAAAGAAGAATGCCATAACAATATTTGTAATCCATTATGCACTCAAGACATAAAAAGCTTGCAAGTAATTTATACTCACTGACGAATATAGTCATCTGTCCATGAACTATTGCACTGAGGAGCCTTTCGGAGAGCTAATGCAGCAGCCTGTAATTGACAAAAGACTTTTACCTTCCAAGTATATTAAATCTGACATGTTTTTGTTGAGGTATTCTAATGGCAGTTCAATGTGAAAAAGAAGAATACGCACTAATTTCTTATTTGCAGAAATGCTATATTAGCATCTACATAAAGCAGCAATTTCAGACAATGTCCAAACTAAATATTTCCAAAAAAATGTGATTTAACAAAGAATTACATAATTTCAGGAAAAGGATTAAAATTTACAAGGATGAAAAGCAAGAAAACATCATGAGACACGAACTTGACATGATATGTTTTTACTATGAACTCGGAAGCTTAATCAAGAAATGCCTTGTTAGATCCACATTATATTGACAAAAACCTTAAGACCATAACAAAAGTATCAAATGCTGGCCAACTTGGTATATCTCAAAGCTAAGTAAATGTATAGAACTTGTCTACCTTAATTACAAGATCATTGACAGATATACGCTTTCCACCTGACGCTTCCTGTAATGAGTTGAGTTGGCTCCGCAAACTGAATGTAATGAAACAGTTTATCATTATCAAATCTATCATCAATTTCCTTTTCCAAAGATTGAAGCACTATTACTTACTCCATAAGTTTGTCAACACATGTATCCACTGTTAAATAGTAATGCGGGATAGTCTGCTTTGAGAATAGTAAGCGAGATGCTGTGATCTGTCAAATTTTGTAGACCAAATTACTCGCAGAGCACATTGGTTATGTAGCAGACACCCAAAATGGGGGGACGACAAAAGAAGCTGGACAGAAGATATGGAAACCAACTTCTTTGCACTCTTATGAAAAGAGTGAAGAAATCTAAAAGGTAGCTAAAATTTGAAATTTCATTAGCTGCAATTGAATGCAGATCCTTTCAGAACTAGATGAAATGTGAAATTCTATTTGACAGCCTTGTACTTCATGAAACTTATAAAAATAATATCCACGAGTAAATTACCTTTCTTATCTGAGAATGAGGGATGTCCACATAATCTAAAGATGCAAGTTTTGCATCCTTTGTCTTAGGAGTCGATGCCGAAACTTCCTTTCGGCGTGAAGCTACATGACAAGGAAAACAATTCAGTGAATCAGTAAGCAGAAGAGTGACAACAGTACATCAAATTGAATACTATCAAAGAAACTCTGACAGAAAAAAAGGGATTGTGGGGTGGGGAGACAGACATTATTTACTATATAGCATTAATTATAAGCTGAGCAAAATCACAACAGCATCAAACAATGTAGAAATTAAAATATGATACCCAAGTAATCTTCAATATCAGCCTTTACAATGTGTCCATCAGGACCTGTTCCTTTGATGCTTGATAGTGGTACCTATATTTGCATTCAAGAAGAAAAAGAAAAAAAAGATTTGGGATAGAAGTGATTACATGCTTATGGTTGTATCTTGACACAGAACAAGACAATTGCATTCACAACACTCATATGACTAACCTTGTGCTCTTCTGCCAATTTTCGAGCAAGAGGACTCGCAAAAATGCGATCTTCTGAAGGAGAGGAGGTAGGCTTGGGAGTCTTGGGCTCTGGTGAAGGAACTGGTTGTTCAACAGGCTCCCTTGGCGGTGGCGGAGGAGCTGCTGAGTCTTTTGCTGCTGGAGCCCCAGAACCTGATGCCGGAGGACTGTAGTCCTTGAACTTTGCAACATCCTCCTCCTCTTCAACAGTGATGGCAATTATCTACATGTAACCACAAAAGGAAAAAAAACATTAAATAAATATTCAGATGAATTGAGCATTACTCAGGGAGCGAAAAAGCAATAAAAAAAGATCTAAGAGGTGCAGAGCTGAGGTGTGTCTCCTTTATTTAGTCAAATCGATTCCCAAATCCATGAGAACCGAAGAAAGATAAATGTATGCACAACAATTCTCAAAATCAATACCTC